TCTGAGAGTCATGTTGTGTAGATAGTATTGAACTGTTATCTGATAGTTATGTTGTGTAGATAAGAATTAACAGTTTATTATCTTAGCGTCATGTTGTGTAGATAGTACTGAGTTATTTGTTATCTTAATGTTTATGAATAGTGCTGAACTGTTATCTGAGTCATGTTGTATAGATAGTACTGAACTGTTATCTGAGTCACATTGAGTAGATAGTACTGAATTGTTTTCTGAGAGTCATGTTGTGTAGATAATACTGAAATGTTTTCTGAGAGTCATGTTGTGTAGATAGTACTGAACTGCTATCCGAGTCATTTTGTGTAGATAGTACTGAACTCTTATCTGAGAGTCATGTTGTGTAGATAGTACTGAACTATTATCTGAGAGTCATGTTGTGTAGATAGTACTGAACTGTTATCTGAGTCATGTTGTATAGATAGTACTCAACTATAATCTGAGAGTCATGTAGTGTAGAAAGTACAGAACTATTATCTGAGAGTCATGTTGTGTAGATAGTACTGAACTGTTATCTGAGTCATGTAGTGTAGAAAGTACAGAACTATTATCTGAGAGTCATGTTGTGTAGATAGTACTGAACGTTTTGTTATCTGAGAGTCATGTTGTGCAGATAGTACTGAACGTTTTGTTATCTGAGAGTCATGTTGTGTAGATGGCGATCATCAAGTGGCGTTTTTGAATTTTCATTGTCTGTATTTTCGTGAGCAGTCCCCACTTCTCTACCAGCAGACACAATAACGAAAATTCAAAAGGTGTAAAACCCCCCCCAAACAACCGTATTTGTTTTTATCAGTCCAGAGTGTTTACAGGCCGAGTTAAGTGTAAAACCCATCTAAACAACCGAGTTTGTTTTTATCATTGTAGAGTGTTTACAGTGCGAGTGGCAATTGTAAAACCTACCTAAACAATCGTATTTGTTTTCATCAGTGTAAAGTGTTTATAGGGTGAGTGGCAAGTGTAAAACCTACCTAAACAATCGTGTTTGTTTTCATCAGTGTAAAGTGTTTATAGGGTGAGTGGCAAGTGTAAAACCTACCTAAACAATCGTGTTTGTTTTCATCAGTCCAGAGTGTTTACAGGGAGAGTAGCAAGTGTAAAACCCACCTAACCTACTGTATTTGTTTTTATCAGTCCAGTGTGTTTACAGGGTGAGTGTCAAGTGTAAAACCCACATAAACAACCGTGTTTGTTATCATTAGAACTTTCGCACAGAGGGATATCTATCAGCCAGTCAAAAGCATCCGCCGCCAACTATTAGGCTAATCTTGTCTGATTGAATAGTTAGATTTCACAGTCACTATTACAGCGCACAGGGTGAGAGTAATGAATCATCGGATTCACAGACCGGGTACACTAACCATTAGGTAACGTCGGGCCCAAACAGCTGTACACTAGCACATCAAAGATGAAATACGCACTTAACTGTTGAAAATTGCATTTAGATACAGTTTTTCACGCCGTATTACATGTTATTGTGTAGACCACGCTGCTGTTATTGTGTACTGTATATTTTTTCTTCATTTTCCTAATTTGACAAAACATAAATAAAAAATTCCGAAAATCTCTTAAAACATTGTTCTTATTAAAACACATATAAAAGGTTTAAAAAAGAAAATCACAATACCTGAATATATTCTCCTCTAAAATATAGCAAAAATAAGTCGATCAAGAAACCCGCCAACCTTCACACGAAAGAATAAGTTCTGCGAGGTTTTGGTTATACTGATAACTATTATCAGGCAAACTTGCAGTTTACTTCTGATAAATGAGTATCTTTTGTTTCAAATTGGTTCCAGAACTCCTTCTGTCTTCTTGTGGTGTAATTACAAAAGATGCTCCCCTCACCCCCGCAGAAAAGGTAATTGGGCCCTCTACATATATTTTCCTACAATTGTAGTTACGATTCTGGCTAATTTAGCCCTGCTTTTGCCCGTCACCTCCCCCTCCCCGCAACGGCGGAGACGTACTTTTGTCACTGTAGCATCATCTTAGTTTCAAAGTGCCAAACCAATTGATGTTTAAAAATACTAGCATCAAAATGATGGGTATATTGTTGAATTTATATTTTCTTTGAAAGAAGAAATCTCTTACAGATTGACTTACTTTTTTATTGCACAGTTTGACTCTTCTTCGTTCTCCGATACAAAACTTCCCTCCTCTGGTCGGTCTTCCAACATGAAATGAAAAACTCGAACTTTTTATCTCAGAATACTCACGAAATTATGATTACAAATAATCATGCCTTACAAAGGAAGATACGAGGAAATGTTTCCCTGCTACCAATCAAAGTAGCATGAAGGACAAAATATCAGTTAAATTTCGAAACACTTAATTAGTGCTAGTTTAGAACTAGTAAAGTACAAAATTATAATACCTGTAATATCCTATTTATTTCAACCAATAAATTCGCGATTAATATTTTATCAAATATGGGAAAAGATATCACAACCGATGTATTTAATAGACCAGATTTTATTAGAGGTTTCATAAATATGTGTTGTAGACATCTTCATTTAACACTTCATTTAAAGAATGCTTTCGCCATAGCTAACTTGCTTGGACGTTTTTTGTTAAGCCTTTCCATTTTCCTCAAGTTTTTATCCTCCGTTCATGTTAGGAGGAAGCAAATGAACCAAACTTACGGTGGATTATTGCATAATCGTTCAGATGACATTATTCCCCCATCACAACTCCTTGAGCACATACTCCACGATCCCCAAGATCCCCATTCTCCATCAATACCGTTAGGCTGTTCTTCGATTGTGGAACATTTTCCCATAAAGCACCACTATAAAGATGAAACAATGTAGTATGATATAAACGGGGAAATTAAACCTAAGAATGTAATGTAACTAAAGAAATAGATTATGATAAAGAAACATATAAAAGCAAAACTAAATTTTCAACACAGTATAATTTTTTTCTTTACTTCTCTTCTGCTTAAAATGATAACACCAAACTGTTAGTGATACATCATGACGCCATGTAAACATGCCGATCCCCACTTCAGTTCCTGGCATGGTACTAATTGTTTATAAATACGAACAGGAAAGTCGATTGACATAATCTCAAACTGTTCATCATAACATTGTCCTATTTCCAAGAAGAATCGTACTAAAAAAAGTTTTCTTTACCTTATTTGAACCACAAATAGTTCCATCAGCGGCGGGCTCCAGACGTGTCACGCACTTATCGTCCACACGGCACCACAGAGTCTGGCACATGTTCTGGACATAGAAATTATTCTGCTAATACTAAACTGTACCTAAAACTCACTAGTGTTGTAGTAATAAAACATGCACGTAAAGTAAGAAAAACATTAAGAAACAATTTCTATCTAATATTTATGTATATATTAACGGCTACAACCCATATAAATAACATTTTAATTGTAAACAGTTACTAATAATACAAATATAATTACAGTTTCAAACATTGTAAGCAGTTACAAATAGTACAGATGTAAGTACAGTTTCAAACATTGTAGGCAGTTACAAATAGTAAAGATGTAAGTAGAGTTTCAAATATTGTACGCAGTTACTAATAATACAGATATAAGTGCAGTTTCAAATATTGTAGGAAGTTTCCAATAATACAAATATAAGTACAATGTCAAATATTGTAGGCAGTTGCTAATAATACAGATATAAGTGCAGTTTCAAATATTGTACGCAGTTGCTAATAATACAGATATAAGTGCAGTTTCAAATATTGTAGGAAGTTACCAATAATACAAATATAAGTACAATGTCAAATATTGTAGGCAGTTACTAATAAAACAGATGTAAGTACAGTTTCAAACATTGTAGGCAGTTACTAATAATACAGATATAAGTACACTTTCAAATATTGTAGGCAGTTACTAATAATACAGATATAAGTACACTTTCAAATATTGTAGGCAGTTACCAATAATACAGATGTAAGTATAGAGTCAAATATTGTAGGCAGTTGTTAATAATACAGATGTATGTACAGTTTCAAACATTGTAGGCAGTTACTAATAATACAGCTGTATGTACAGAGTCAAACACTGTATGTGTTATTTAATCTTGAACGACAACTTTGCAATTTTCTGTCTTATAAATGAATTCTGACTTTATTGTTAAAAACATACATACTTGGTCACTTGTAAATTGATAAATGATGTTCAGTTCCTTGAAATAATAACAACAAACAATATTTACCTCAAGGCCTGTACAGTGGGTAGCAGAATGACCATACTGAAGACGACACTGGTGGTCAGCGTTGTACATGGTCCCTGGTGGCAACTGCGGGAAACTAAAGTCATGATCGGATGGTTCGTCGTCTAAGCAACGACCCCAATCTCGACTGAAACAGATATTTCTCTATAAACAAACGTGCTTTCTGATAACCCTATATCACGACCAAAAACTTAACGTTACCAGTTCTAAATTTTTCCTTGTGACATAATTTACAAATTTGCTAAATGAAGTGACTAACGTTGAAGATTAAAATATTGGCTCAGCAGACATTAAAAAACGATGTTAAGACAGCGGAAGTTACGTGACGTGTGTGAGTTTCTCGAATGATCATGGTCGTCGGCGTGTGCTCGAGGTGCCCTTTTCGTTAGAATATAAGAGAAAGCCAGCGAGGATATACATTGTGAATTGCTGAGATTTATAGCGTGTATTATAAAAGTTAAGTTTAAAGTGACGAGAAACGTACTGATTGTGGAACTACTGTGTACTAAAAGTTTGTATCGAGGAAGAATAAATTAGTTTAATCAAGAAAGGACTTGTATCACTGAAGATCCTCGGAAAGAATTTCTACCATCAACAAACAAACAAGCACATACGTAACAACGACATATTTTTGTGAGCATATTGTCGTTAAATAATTTTAAAGAGAAGGAAGTACTTTGCACTTTATGACCGTGCTCGAACCTTGATTAATGAATATGACTCATTATTTTTGTTTCATGTATCAAAATGCTAAGTCAATATAAATCTTCTAATCTTTTTTTATAATTAAGATTTCCTGGAACAGTTAACGCAGATTCTTAGAGAATGTTCTAACTGTTTCGTATTTATATAACTATTCAATTTACGAATATACTTACTCAAGAAACTTTGTGATCTCTGAACGACTACATTTTGACCAAACGATAGGACTGGCCTCAGAAGCGAAGTGGGATGACATGATGTGTTGCTGTTCTTCATATGAAAGTTGGCAGCCATTGTGGAAGCTGTCGTGGCTCATTCCAAAACTGTAAGAAATCGCTGATTTAACAAACAAATCATATCTCAGGTAACATACAGTTAATGCTAGTCATCATAGTGTTGAATTTCAACATCAGAAAATCTATATATCCTGTCTCTCACTGAGCGTCACACGCAGCTCCAAAAGAGTAGAATCAGTTAAAATTCAAAATTAATAACTTACTTGTGACCCATCTCATGAGCTATAGTGTAAGCCACTGCTAAACCTGTATCCTCATTAACATTGCAGCTTCGACCAGGTTGGCACATCCCGGCAACTTCTGCTAAGCCTAATGTACTGCAAGGTTGATTTCCTTTTGTACAAATGTTGTATCTAAGAAATAGCAATAGCGAACACATTCCATCAAAAATAATCTAAATATTTCTTCTTAAGTTTAATCTTTCTGAATTATTATATTTAACCAAATATTCTTAAATAACTCAACGGTTTATTATACACTAATCGTGCAAGGAGACAGAAAAAAACGCTGTTATATCTATAAATTTAAGATAACTTTTCACAGTCGATAAAATACACATTATGCTGCAATAAAAAAAAGTTTCATTTCCTAAATGTCGATTAAAAGCTCTGTTTCAATTTTGTAGATTGTCGTAAATACCAAACTGAGGTTTTTAACTTTCCTTATTTCTGATGTACGATATTTTATATAATCATTTTTATATTATTGACAACAAATAAAAAGCCCGGCATGGCCAGGTGGTTAAGGTACTCGACTTGCAATCTGAGGGTCGCAGGATCGAATCCCTGTCACACCAAACATGCTCGCCCTTT